GTCCAAATTATAAAGCTTGAACTTGGGCCAAAGTATGTACGATATCTTTTACCCATCTATGTGCTTGTATAGTGCTTATGCTTTTATGCATGCATGGATGTTCCTTCAAGTTATGCCCAAGCAACCCAAGTAACAAGTACAATGTGCATGGCAATCCCATTGGCAAAAATTTACAGGGATGTAACCTGTACTGGACATAGGAGTGTATTGTGTTTCCAGAATATACCATGGTCCTGGTAAAATTGGGCCATAAGTCGTTTTTGAGCTATGCCTTTTCCTATTCTGGATATTTGTGTTAAATGTTGGAAAGAACTGCTGAATTGATTCCTTAATTGTTTTTAGGCACCTGAATACGCTATGTCCCTAGATGAAGAGGGTATATGCAGGACAGCTTTTGAGCTGATTTTTGCTTTTGATGAAGTAATCTCTCTTGGGCACAAGGAAAATGTGACTGTTGCACAGGTGAAGCAGTACTGTGAAATGGAGAGTCATGAAGAGAAACTGCACAAGCTTGTGATGCAGAGCAAGATAAACGAGACCAAGGATGTTATGAAACGGAAGGCTAGCGAGATTGACAAAAGCAAGGTATTTGTTTAGGGTCATGTACATGGTTCCCTTACTAGTTTAGTGCTTTGCATAGTTATCTAGTCTTGTAAGCCTCCTGTTTGATAATATTGTGATATGTTCTACAGATTGACAGGGGCAGAGCTGATAAAGGCGGATTTATGTCTTTACAGTCAATGGGATCTGGAAAAATTGATAGTGCATTTAGTGAGATGAGCATATCCAGTAGTGGAAGTGGCTTTGGAAGTGGTTCTGGTTTTGGATTGAGCACTGATATCGACTCATTTTCCACAAAGACTAAAGGTTTGTGTTTGTTTGTATGCCTTAATTGTGCAATACATTCTGAAATCAATGATAGTGGTGATGGTGGTGTGTAGTATGTGATCTGGTTCCTGTTTGATTATGATATGCATTAACTTTATGAACTAGTTCCCTGATGATAATTAAAATGCTACAATTGGTAAAGCTCGTCTTGTTCTGTTTAAGAAAACATTATAAGCACATAATGTGCAAGGTTGCTATTGGCCACCATTGTACCTTATGCATCCTGTTTTTCTCATTTGTATAATTTCACCATGTACACTTCTGATGTAGGACAACCAGACCAACTTGATTACGATTTATTCATCCCACTAGCAATAGGATTGAAGTTAGTTTTCCTTTTTCCTATTTGGTTTTCTGTTTTACGATTTCCCTTTCCAAATAGGATTTCAATTTCCTTGTTAATTTGGACTTTAGCTTTTCCCTAGAAGGATTAGGAGTTGAAGGCTACAGTTCTCTGTAGCTTTTTCTGATTATTCTGCTGCATTATCTTTCATCCTCAGGTCGTCCACCTTCATCTGCTACTGCTCCTCCAAAGGGTTTGGGTATGCAGCTGGGAAAATCTCAAAGGACCAACCAATTTTTAGAGTCCTTGAAAGCAGAGGGAGAGGTGATTCTTGAAGATGTACAGCCAAAAGTAGGCCAATCTAAATCAGCTGCCCCGCCTCTAACTGATCCTGTCACTTTGAATGTTGAAGAGAAACTTAACGTAACACTTAAACGTGATGGTGGATTGAGCAACTTTGATGTTCAGGGGACATTATCTCTGCAAATTCTTAACCAGGAAGATGCATATATCCAAGTCCAGGTATTTCATCACTATGCCTCATATATTACTATGGGTGCAATCGCACAATCTAGGTCATAACGTTTCAGCACTCATAGTAATGTGTCATGTGTTTAAGTGACACATCTGGCAAGTGCCTTATTTGAATGCTAGGTTTCCTATGAATCTGATGGAAACCTCACAGATATCCTTGCCATTGGAGACTTATAGAGATACGCCTTTTTAGAATGTTGTCTTTTGAAACTCATTCTGATTTGTGGTAAATCTTTAGTGGTGTTCTGTTTATGGCTGTGCTTAATAAGTTTTTAGAAGTAGGTCCAATGTTTTGTGTCGTTGAAATGTATTTTGTCGTATTTTTCAGATTGAAACTGGTGGAAATCCTGGCATCCTTTTCAAAACACACCCTAACATGAACAAAGAGCTATTCTCCAATAATAACATTCTAGGCCTAAAGGATACTTCTAGGCCTTTTCCCACTGGTCAAACTGGTGATGCAGGAGGTGTTGGTCTTTTGAGATGGAGAATGCAGACTTCAGATGAGTCAATGGTGCCCCTGACAAGTGAGTTCACTTGTTTCATCATCCTGGTGTATGATTCATCTCGTGTGTCCTGATCATTATATATCAATCCATCTTTGTTGCAGTCAACTGTTGGCCCACCGTTTCTGGGAATGAAACTTATGTCAACATTGAGTACGAGGCTTCAGAGATGTTTGATCTGAGAAATGTTGTTATCTCTGTACCTCTTCCTGCTGCAAGAGAGGCTCCACGTGTAAACCAGATTGAAGGGGAATGGAGGTAAGAAAATTCATCTTATTTTTCTTGCCTACTCCGCTCTTGGGACCTAGAATTACAGCTATACATAACTGAAATGCGGTTATTATCTTACCTGTACAAAAGTATCCACTGTGAATGTTAAGTGTGAATGTAGAGGGGTTCTTTTCTGATTGCTACATCAGATTAAGCACATGTATATGCTTGTGATTTCATGGACGTTTGTATTTTTTCACGTACGTAATCCTTTTGTATAGATTTTGGGAACAGATACCAAAATGGAATTGACCCGGAAACAATGCCAAATGCCCCTGCTTCCATGTGACAGGATAGTATTCCTCCTGGAGCAGAACGATTTGAACATTCTATGCTCCGGTGGAATTTATATTGCTTAAATTTGATATCACAATTGCATTGCAGATACGATGCAAGGAATTCAACGTTGGAGTGGTCCATACTTCTTGTAGATAACTCAAACCGCAGGTCTGTAAATGCTGGACTGATTCTTTTTGGTCGTTACATATTCTTTGTGAACTAATGTTAATGGAATCGTTATCCTTCTTAAATACTTGGCAGTGGATCAATGGAGTTTGTTGTTCCCCCAGCAGACCCATCTGTATTTTTCCCCATTTCTGTTCGCTTCGCTGCCACCGAGACATTCAGTGACCTGAAGGTACAACTGCTGGACTTTGAATATCCCTTTTCTTGATGAAGATCCTTGTGCTATTATATTTTTCTCATTTTGGTGGATTTAAGAGCCCATGCTATAAGTGCAAATACTTAGTTGATTCCATTGTCTTATACTTACCTCATTTTTTATGGACTTAAAAACCCGTGCGATGAGTATAACTACTTGATTCCTTTGTGGATGTTTTACTTCTAGACTCGGTGAAGTATTATATAATGCTCTAACTTTCATCACACTGCCAAGAATTCACAGCCTCACACACCACTAACACTTAGGGCCTTGGATTGCTTTGAACCTGATATTATGCCCTTACCGTCACCTGCAGTCTGACTTGCTTTTGGCAGCCTTTACGGTAGTGGATTATGAAAGAATTTAATTGAAGATGGTGACATTGAATCCTTTTTGCACAGGTTTTGAACATTATACCTCTGCAAGGTGGAGCCGCTCCCAAGTTTTCTCAAAGAACGCAGTTGGTGACGGAGAATTACCAAGTGGTGTGATGGTTTGGGGTGTGTGGATCTGCAACCTTTTTGGATATGGATTGAATTCGAAAACCAGCAGTTTTCATTTTGTGGTGTTTTAATTCCCATTAAATTTGAGATGAAGGGAAGCCTGCCAGAATTTGGATGCTATAGATGTGCATTCTTTCATGTTATTTGATACTATCCCCTTCCCCCCAAGGAATGTTAATAATAAAAGTGGATGCCTATTTGTAATTTTTGGCTTAACTGAAGATGTAAGGTGGATTAGCCACAACTTGCAAGAAAGCTAATCTCTCCTTAGGATTGAGGATAGTTTTATACACGGCTAATTCATATTCTACCTTCACTTGGATAAAAAATGCAAGTAGACATTCAATTCTTCGTTCTACTTCAATTGAATCTAGCAAGTTATCATATCCAAGCCAGTCCTAGACGACAATCGAGATGTGGAGACCAAGAACGAGAGGCCGGTCCGGCCTTGGAGTCTAGCTTTGGAGTATCATATTAACAGAACATAATCTGATGGAATTCGTACTCATTATCCTGCCCTCGGTTTTTACTTGGGCTAACTTCATGGACTATTTCAAAAGTAACTATTTGCATAGAAAAATGACCAACACATTTCTTTTTTTTTTTTTTTTTTTTGGTAACTCGTAAACACCAAAGAAGTGAGGTGAATGGGTTCCATCGCAAATAACAAGAGATATGTAAAAAGCCTTCATTTATGTCTCAATATTTTTGGAAAGTGTTATTGACATTCTAAAAATTTTATTATACACTCCTCACAAATATATTTTTCTTTTATAATATAAAAAGTTTAGAGTGTAGAATGAGATTTCTGAAGTGTTAATAACAATTCTCTTGTTTTTATTCAATTTAATGGTCAGAATTAAACGAGATATGAAAAAGGTAAAAATGATGTGAAAGCTCCACTTCATCACAGTTAAAGTAGGATTAATTTGACAAAGTAAGCTCTATTACTTAAAAAGTGGAAAGAAAAAAAATACAGCCTCTAAATTTTGAACACATGCGCATGAGGTACACATTTAATAATTATGCCTTGAGCTGTGCATATCCAAGACGCTTACTATATATGGTTGTATATGAGACCATGGGAGCATTATAAACAGGAGATCCAAGACTTTTTAAGTGCCTATAGGCTATAGATATAATTACATTTCCACATGTCTCTGCCTTGAGCTGTGCGGCCTACCAAATATATATATGGTTGTGTATGAGGGAACCGGATCCCCACCTGAGCATAGGGTGGAGATCCTTTTGATTGGGTTATCTGGACCTTTGAAATTTGATCCAACTGTTACAAACAGGGAGTCCATTAAAGTTATAATTATTATAGCTAGTTGGATTAAATTTCAAAGGTCCAGATGGCTCGGTCAGGAGGATCCCCGCCCTATGCTCAGAAAGGGATCCGGTTCCATGTATGAGACCACGGGAGCATTATAAACAGCAGATGCAGATCCAAAGAGCCTTATTTGCAAGTTTGAGCACACTCATCAATCAATGTCTAAGCCAAGGTATGAATGATATTTGCCATATCTTCTTTTCTCAACCTTCTATTTCTTTTGCTTAATCTTAAGATTCAAATTTATAGGTTGGAGGGCAAGGTGGCCCTGATAACTGGTGGGGCAGCTGGGATTGGTGAGGACGCAGTCAGATTATTTGCAGCCAATGGAGCCTTTGTTGTTGTTGCTGATATCCAAGACGAATTAGCTCATCAACTTGTTGCCTCAATCGGCTCAGACAGAGTTAGCTACTGCCGCTGCGACGTCAGAGACGAAAACCAAGTCGAAAACACGGTCAACTTCACGTTGCAAAAATACGGCGGCCTTGACATTTTGTTCAGCAATGCAGGTGTCATGGGTCCGATGACTGGCATTTTAGACCTTGACATTCAAGGCTTTGACAACACAATGGCCACGAACGTTCGCGGTGTTGCTGCAACCATCAAGCACGCCGCGCGCGCCATGGTGGCACGTGCCGTGCGTGGTTCAATCATATGTACCACGAGTGTTGCAGCCTCTCTCGGAGGCACGGCTCCGCACGCTTACACCACTTCGAAACATGCTCTGTTGGGTTTGGTCAGAGGAGCTTGTAGTGAGCTCGGAGCTCACGGGATTCGAGTTAACAGCATTTCGCCATTCGGAGTCGCAACCTCGCTTGCGTGCAAAGCGTACAATTTGGAGCCAGATGAGGTTGAGGCCAATAGCTCTGCCATAGGAAATTTGAAGGGCATTGCGTTGAAGGCTAGGCATGTGGCGGAGGCGGCTCTGTTTCTTGCCTCCGACGAATCGGCGTATGTCAGTGGACACAACTTGGTTGTCGACGGTGGATTCACGGTGGTTGATCACAGTTTTTCGGCCAACTAAAACTACGGTTTGTTGTCGCCAAAAGAGCCAACTCTTTTAATGTAGGGTTGGCATTTTGATCTGTCTAATTTTCTGAATTAAACAGAGTAGTCTCTGTTTAAAGAGTCAAACTTTGTTACGAGTAAATGGCATGTGCATTTTCCTTGTAATCTGCAACTGCAATGTTATCTTCAATTATTATACCCCTATCCCTCTAATTTAAGCTTTATTTATTTAAGAATTTTTACAAAGTGAAAACGAGTCCAAGTCTCTAAGTTATCGTTAGATAGTTAATATATGGACATCATTTATCAAGTTCAATAGTTTTAACTTCTATTAATGATGATTTTTCACTGTTTTACGGACCAACGTTCTCAACACACTGAAATATATTATGACACTTGATGTACGGAGTAGTATTCCAGCATACTGAAAAATTTCTCATACTTTATGACACTTGATGTTCAAATCCTTCCTATGGGTTAACTAAACTCTATTAGTTAGACGTGGTTCATAAATGAGGATGTAGGATATATGTGATTCTCATAACTTTATCTTAACCACTTGCACATGCTAATAGCTGTGGGATTAATACAAAACGGACTCAGTGTAAGTGATAGTGAAATCATTCAATATAAAGACGGTTTATACACATTATTTTCTTCTTATGCGCTCCTAATTATCCTTTTTCATTGATTCTCTTTTGAAAAACAAGAGAAGAAAACATGTGAGCAGAAAACAATTCATTTCTTATATATTTTAATTAAGTTTCCAATAATTCGTCAACAGATTTTTACCCATTCATTTAAAAGAAAAATAGAAAACTAAAGAAAACTTTCAGTTTTGGTGTGATCCTTGCCAGAGCCCAGAGGCACAAACTTGACGTGGGCAAGCCAAGACGTGCATTTAAATTTCTGCTGGACTTGATTCAATTCTCATCAGTCCAACACTTGCAAACATTCATAATGCAAAAGCCAACGATTCTTTCTGGGAATAATACTAGCTAGATACGCCGATAAATTTTTCAACCGTCACAATGATAATAATTTCGGACTTGGATTCTCTCGTCTCCTATTTTCGTCCTCTTTTTTTTTTTTTTTTTTTTTTTTTTCAAACGGCTGAGATTGAAAGTTAGATTGAAAGTTAGAGAATAGGAGGATTGAAAAGACCAGCTATTTTCCTAGCGAACTTTAACGAAAAGCTCTTAGAACTGTTTACTTTAATGAAAATCCATATTTTTACACTAAAAAATCAATTATGATACTATTCACTTTATTCTTTATTTTATCTTTATCGTTGAAACTCAAAATTTTCAAATCCTTTTTTATTAGTTTTTTTATTTTCCTTATCCATGAAAGCTTTTTCTTCTTTTGTTTTTTGGTAGATATTGCTAACGGGTACATAACATTGACTTAAATCATTTGTTTGGAATTGTCACTATCTAAAAGGACGTACTTTTTTAATTGGCTCCTATATTTTGTGGTATAGATAAAAACCCTATCGTTCTTGGAGCTTTGCCTCTCTTAAGTATCAAATAGGAGTTTTTTATTTTTTGTTTTTATTTTTAAACAAACGAGATTATCTACATTAAGAGCACGAAAACGAACTAAACTTTACAATAAATTAGCAATAATATGGTTCAAATTTTGTTTTGATGAGCATCAACATAAGACCTCTTATTTACACTTATAAGTGAAGAAAAATATTATTAAACCAGGCAACAATTAGCAATTAGCAAAACCAGTCCAAATGTAGTCGTCATGACTCACCAGTCAGCAATTAGCAAAACCAGACGGTCATAACTGCGAGTCGTCGCCAACAAACGACAAACCCAACGCAAATAAACACCTTCCAGAACCCCCACAAATGGTCGTCCATCTCATCACGATTTCACTTCCCAATTCGGAACAACTGATTCTGGGTTCTCACTGAATGTTTTCAACTCCGACAATGGCGCTGCAAGTTTACTGGTACGACTTCGTCTGCTTCGCCATTGTAGGGGTTTCTTTTGTGGCCGCGTTGTGGGTGATTTGGCGGAAGGAAGGGGCTTCGGAGAGGTTCGAAGACAGCACCATGTACGACAGCCTTCTGGTGACCCGCCCCGAAAGCCATGTGTTTGTCAGCGCCCTGCCGAAGGGTCACGTCAGCACTTCCCAGCTCTGGACTAGCTGCTGGAAAGGGATCCACCCCGGCTGGCTCTTCGCCTCTCGGTTCGTCTCGTTTCTGGCTTTGGCTGGGTTCTTGGCTTGGGATCTTGTCGAATGGAATCCTTCCATTTTCATTTACTACACCGAGTAAGATTTTGTTTCATAACTTGATGCGTTGTTTTATGTAACTTGTGGATAAACTTGGTAACCACCGGGGCAATCCACCGCTTCTGTGGATAATCAATTAGGGTAGTGAAGTTTGAGTAACAATTCAATTTTATGAACATGATCAATCACATGCCATTTACATATTTTCCTGATTCTGCTGATTGTAATGACGCTTTTGTTGCTTTAATTTGTGCAAACCCACATTAGGAAAGTACATTAGTTTCCACCCGTAATAACGAATTTGGTTTACAAGTAGAATAGTAGTAGTGATTTGATGAAAAGGGCGAGACCATTGATCAATTTGGTTCAGGGTGTAAGAGGATGATACAACGAGCTCGCCTAAAATTGTGCACATCATGTGCAAGAGAGTAATGGATTTTTAACTAGGACGGGTACTGTTTGCGTTGAAACTAGATTGAAGCACTTGTTATCCTCCATATCTATGTCACTTTCAGTTGATTACAATACGTGACCTTTTGTGTGTTGATGGCATGCCAACGATCTCCTTAACAGTTTTTTGATCTTGGTAATCTGCAGGTGGACGTTTACACTGGTTATGATCTATTTTGCGGTATGTCATGCTATCCAACATCATACGTTCTCCTTCAAAATAAGGCACATGTTTTCCCTTTTATTGGCTTGTTTTGTTAGTTGTCCTGTCCATATCTTAAATGCTCTATACACTCTGTGGTGGAGACTTCCACATAGAGAAACAAACATGAACAATGTATAGAGCCAATTTGGGGTTTGGATGTTTAAACTAATGAATTAGCAGAAGGATATCTATTTCAAATCAGTCCTGCTTTGCCTTTACCTTCTGGTAATTTCTCTATATAGCTGGGAACTCTAGTGTCTGGGTACGGTTGTTGGTTATCCTTAAACAAGCCCTCCACTGGAAATGTGACAAGGACGGAAGCTTTGAGAAGTGAAGTGGAAGAGACTAATGGAACTGTGAATACCTATGGGCAAAACGCAAATAACGGTACCATCAAATTGCAAAGCCAGTATGCTCTAGAGGAAATTCAGAAACGAACAGGATATTGGGGTTATCTTATGCAAATTGCATTCCAGGTTAGTTAATCAAGAACCAGATTTTGTACTTTGTTGGTGAGCCAGGTTATATATATATATATATACACACTCATGCATTAACTAACTAATGTCAAATTGGGGCTACTAGAAATATACAATTGTGTCGAATAGTAATATCCATTGTGTCTGATGGTAGGGAATATTAGCTTGCTTTTCGAAACATTTTGATGAACGAATTTTGTTTGAGGTATGCAGTATGCTCAGAAGCTGATATGTTTTAGTAACAGACTTGTGCAGGTGCTATTGTCCTTACAGATATAGTCTTTTGGTGTGTCATCGTTCCATTTTTATCAAATGCTCACCTTGGCCTCAATACGGTGAGAGTCTGCTTTTTGTACTATGTCCAATTCTAGTGCATTCTTTAAATCTAGATTCTTTTTGCATAGCTATGTTCTGATCTATGAACAATAATGCTGCTATCTTATTCCATTCTTCCTATCGTACCTGAATAGATTGATGAGTGACTGACTTGTACATTTGCTTGGCAGTTGATGTGTTGCATGCATACGCTAAATGCAGCATTCCTTCTTCTGGATACCACTCTTAACAGCCTTGTAAGTATTTTGTTATGGCAGTGTGGAAGCCCTTGTACACCGGTTTTGTCATTTCTTTCTCGTCATCTGTTTACTGATGTCATTTCCGTCTTGTTTTTCAGCCGTTTCCATGGTTCCGCATTTCTTATTTTGTCCTCTGGAGCTGCATCTACATTGCCTTCCAGTGGATCATTCATGCATTAGGTTTCCCATGGTACGTGTAATTAATTGAAGTCTTTTCTCTCTTGCACAAATATGATCATTTACTTGCGGTTAAAGAGCTAGTAACATTGTTTTGAGTATCTTCCCAGGTGGCCGTATCCATTCCTTGAGCTCGATACGCCATGGGCTCCATTATGGTACACTAGCTTATCTATTCTCCGTTCTTCCTTTCAGTTCAAGTTGTAATAAGAAGAAAAATGTGATGAAAGCTTTTAATTTGACAGGTATTTTTGTGGGGCCGCGGTTCACATCCCTTGCTATGGGATTTTTGCACTGATTATGAAGGCAAAGTATTCACTTCTGCCCAAATGGTTTCCCCACGCTTTTGCGACGCCATACTAGTAGAGATTAGCTGCTATTCCTCCTTATGGGGGAACGGGCAGTGGGCTTCGACAGAGTGTAAGTCCTCTTCCGCCTCCAGAAAGGGCGTATGTTCTGTGTCCTACATCGTCTTTCTCGGAACTTTGGAAGAGTAAATTTCGCCTAATCTAGTGTTTTATTTAAAAGAGAAACATACAGTTGGAACTTGGGAGTGGTTTATCATCTTCATGGTTTTTCTTGTGTATATAGACTGTTATTGTTTAGTAGTTGCAACTTGGATCAATCACAGTGAAGCTTCTTCCTGTTATTCTCTCACACTGAAGGTGAAGCTTACACCCAATACTTTTGCTGTTTAAATTAAAGGAGAAATTAGGCTCCGGTCCTTAATTATTGATCTTCTTTGATTAAAACCTTGTTATTTTTTACTTTTGATCAAGGTCCTTGAAGTTTGTACACATCAGCATTTTATTTTCAGTATATTTCCATGTCAGCTTTTTATTTTTATTTTTATTTTTATTGAAATAGTTAATTATTGCATTTTTTTATCCGGGACTGCGTTTTTATTCCACGACTGTTATACCTCAAACTCCTCCTATGCTTACCAAACTGAATTGACGCATCCATTCCACCAAGTAATCCCGCTCACTTGATTTTTTCCTTTTTTGATTTTCATAACTGCAAAATTCCACAATAATCTCACTAAAATTTTCAAATCCATCATTATTATCTTTGATATGATGTTTCAAATTCAAGTTTGGCCAAGATTTGAATCGAAGTCATACTTTATCCGCGAGCTTTTGAGCGAGCGCAGTTTTTTGTAGAGTAACTTGAAGAATCAACGACAATTCCGAGCTAAAATTCGAGGTTTTTTTTTGTTTTTTTTTTTCCCTTTCATTTTTTGAATTTGCACCCACAGTTCATTTATACTGATTTGTCCGCAAAGGTGGATTCTTGGTGTTATAATTTTCGTACCCATATTTACAAGTAGTGTAGTATCGTTTTCACAATTGGTTTTGCATATGTAAAATGATTATTTTTCAATTTTTTTTGGCATGTATTGGGGAACCTCAATGAGTTCAGCATGTATCTTGTGGTTTTGCAGTGTTTTTCTGGTGCATATCAAGTGTTTGTCGAAATGTTTGAAAGGGAATTTCGTATACGAAACTTTTGTATGCATAGAAATTGTTTATTTCTTGAATAAGTCTTTTTCTCTATTGTGGTGTGCATGGGTTTCAATTGCATTGTATACATTTTTTAACAATGGTTCATGTGTTGGAAACTACTGGAGTTGTAGAAGTATAGGAAGGGGTACAACAGAAAAACAGAGCAGATAAGTCAAGGGAGGACCAGCTAAGGCCGAGAATTTTTGCCAATTTTTCTGTTTGACATATACCTTTTTTTTGGGGTGGCGGGGGGACATGGCTTAATTCAGATTTCTTGTTTAAGGAAATTTATTGCACTTTTCATGTCAAGCTAGAATGCTTTGGGTTAATGTTGTCTCCACTTTCTTTTATCTTTTCAGATGGAAGGTGCCATAGTGGGAAGGTGCACTCATCAGGGTACCACTATATCTATCCCAATTTTTTGCCACTCTACATTCTCTAAAGTGTACAATGAGGTTTTCTCAAGGCTTAGTAATTTGACTCATGGTTTATTCGACCTTACATATGCTTTACCTGGATATTCTACTTGTCTATTGCAATCTGATATGGACGTGCGGATGTTGTCTATGTCGGTTGTCAACGAGAAATATTATTGTGTTGATTTAGTTATCAACCAAAAGTCGTGCCGTGACAATGATCGTGTCAGCCGAAATACCAATACTTCACAAACATTTATAATTGAAGGAAATATTCACAGCAATGGCAGTGACTATTGAAGGAAATATGCAACACCAGAAGGCAAGGTAACTGATTTAATTAGTGCGCCCTCAACGTCACTTTAATAAGTGCGCCCTCAACGTCACTTTAATAAGTGCACCCTCAACTGATTTTATAGGCATACCAATGTTACAAAATCCTTTTTAGTTTCTTCTGTATCTCCCGTAACTGATTTAATAAGTGCGCCCTCAACGTCAGTTTTTGTAACCCGATCCTTTTGAATGCAAAAAATACCTTTCCATAAATGCAGTGTGTTTCACTCTCACACATTTCATACCGGTGTGCTTAAGTATGGAACCCATGTTAGGCAAGCCAAGAATTGCAGCTATATCACTTGGTGTTAACCTCGCGTAAATGTCCCCAAACACAAAGAACTTCATATCTTTATTGTACTGCTTTACTATTTTAGCAACATCCATGTCAAGTTTTTTGCAAAACTCAAATGTAACATGACCATCACGATATGCCTTAAACAAGTTCCAAAATGGTGGTTTTTTTAATCTCTTCTTCATGCCCACCTTGAATAAATCCTTCCATTTTCGGGTACAACTTAGCAAAATGAAGAAGGCTCGAATACCTATCCAAAACAAAAACATATAAATTCTTGCCCAAATCTTCATCACAATATTGTGTCCAACTTCCACATGTATTTATGTAACATATTAGTAAGGGAACAATATAGTAACAATGTACCAAATCAGACCCACAGACAACACAAATGTACCCGAACCATCTTCGTGAGTGTAGGTGCAAACTACATCATCAATATAGGCCATGCACTGACACCATTACTAACATTAACAAGTTTAAAAAAGTTTTCAAGATGTTGAGAATATACCTAAATTAATTCAAAATCTCATCGTTTATCAAAATTTTCAAGTTGATGAAAGGGCATACACACACTTTTGAATATTAGTAAAATGAAATCATAATCCCATCGTTCAGAATGCACCCTGCTTACAATGCTTCAACTCTATAAATAATAAATGGTACCTCATACCACCTAGTTTGTACCCTGCTTGTTAATGTTAGTACAAAGAATTTATACTCCCAACATTGAGAATGTACCCTGCATATAATGCTAGCTGCAACTCTAATGCAATTGAATTGTACCCCATACCACCTAGTTTGTACCCCTGCTTGTGAATGTTAGTACAAATAATTCATACTTCCAACATTGAGAATGTACCCCTCATACAATGCTTGTCAATGTTAGTAAAAATAATTCATACTCCCATCATTGAGAATGTACCCCTCATACAATGCTAGCTACAACTCTATAAATATTGAATTGTACCCCATGCCACCTAGTTTGTACCCCCTGCTTGTTAATGTTAGTATAAAGAATTTATACTCCCAACGTTGAGAATGTACCCCTGCATACAATGCTAGCTGCAACTCTAATGCAATTGAATTGTACCCCATGCCACCTAATTTGTAGCCCCCTGCTTGTCAATGTTAGTAAAAAAAAATTCATACTCCCAACATTGAGAATGTACCCCTGCATACAATGCTAGCTGCAACTCTAATGCAATTGAATTCTACCCCATGCCACCTTGTTTGTGCCCCTGCTTGTCAATGTTAGTAAAAATAATTCAAACTCCCAACACTGATAATGTAACCCTTATACAAACATTCTCATTCAAAAATTCTCATTCAAACATTTCGACAAACACTTGGTGTACACCAGAAAAACACTACAAAACCATAAGGTACATGCTGAAATCATTGAAGTTCCCCAATACGTGACCAAAAAAATCGTAAAATAATCATTAATATATACAAAATCAATGGTTAACGATACTACGTTCTCGTAAATATGGTACAAAGATTATAACATCAATCAGTATGGGTGTAATTTCAAAAAATGGAACAATACCTCGAATTTTGGCTCGTGAGGGTTGTTGGGTCTGCAAGTCCCCCTGCAAAAAATTGCGCTCCTTCGAATGCTCGAGGAAAAAAAATATGATTTTGACTCAAATCTTGCCGAAAATTGAATTTGAGGATCCATATCAAAGATAATAATGATGAATTGGAAAATGGGTGTGAGATTATAATGGAATTTGCAGTTACGAAAATCAGAAATTGAAGAAAATAGAGTGACTATTTGGTGGAACGATCCGTGAATTCAGTTCAGCAAGCAAAAGAGGCGTTGGAAGCGTAAGTGTCATGAAATAAAAACACAGTGGGGATAAAAAAAAAAAATGCAATAACCTAACTATTTTAGTAAAATAAAAAGAAAGATGACATGGAAATATATTAACAGTAAAATGCTGATGTGGACAATTTCAGGGACTTTGATCAAAAAATAAATAACAACAAGATTTCAATTAAAGATCTCTACCAACTAAGGACCGGATACAAAGTGGCCCTAAATTAAGGGGGTGTAGTCAAACTAAGATTTTAAAGGATTTTAAAAGTGATAGATTTGATAGGATAAAAGGATTAAGAACTCTTACGAAATTCATATGGATTTTTAAAGAATTTGAATGGATTGCGGTGGATTGTGGTGGAAGGATTTGAAATCCTAGGGGGTGAGGTTGGATTCTTTTTAGTCTTCGTTAGATATACTTTTGGCTCTTAAATCCCATAAAATCCACAACTTATTGAAATCCTCCGAAATCTTAATGTTTTGAATACACTTGGATTTGGATGGATTTTAAAATCCTTTAAAATCTTTTAATTGACTACACCTAGATTTTAAAGGATTTTAAAATCCTTTAATTGACTACACCTAGATTTGAATGGATTTTAAAATCCTTTAAAAATTTTTAATTGACTACACTAGAATTTTAAAATCTTTTAAAATCCTATCAAATCCTAGTTTGACTACACCTCCCAAATTACATGTTTCGGACTTTTGGTTTTCTTGAATCATGTTCTAAATTTTTCTCCTTGTTTTGCGTATAAGAAATTTGGAATCTCAACACACGTGAGATTCCAATGACATAGGTCGGGTTGTTGACCAATGTATGGGTTTGCAACAAACGAATTGGGCCACAAGTCCCGTTTTCTTATTCACTTCGTGACAAAAAATATATAGTTTAGAATGAATATCAAAATATAAAATTAAAACATTAAATGCACATCCACTTGTTATCTACCTTTCATTCTTCTATCAGTGAGTGACCAAAAGAATATTTTTACTTGGGCAACATAAAAAATACATGGGCATATGATTTATGGTTAATCATTTTTAGTTTTCAACTAATGAGCTTTTCCACACTTGGATAGTTGCATTACACGTTGGATGTATTGGCAGCTGCTTTAGTTTGACCAAGTAATAAACACAACTTAAAGAGTATCGCCAACTAACAACTTCATCGACTTTTTAGATTCAAGACTGTACGTCTGGTCCAAACAAATACGCGTGTACTGCCTTCCCCTTTTACCCAATTATTATTTTTTCCGATAAAATATGATTTGATTGTATTCCTACAAGAAAGAGCTCATAATAATGAAAATCGAAAATTAAATAAAAAACAAGTTTCTTTGTTTTTGTTTTTTGACAAACAGATAACATTAATGCGTTCAATTATTAAATGGTAAAAAGGAAGGAAATCAGTAAGACAAATCCTTAGTAAAAAAAAATCGGCAAGGATCGAATTTGTAGTTTGTACATAATATTAGGCTTAATTTGATTAATAGTCTATGTGATGATAAAGTAATTGGAAAATAGCTCTTCTGGTAAAAAATTAGGATTTAAATCCCATGGTAAAAAATTAGGATTTAAATCCCGTGGTGAAGGCTGTTAGGATTTAGGCCCAAAATTGAAAATAAAATTTCGTCAACTCTCTGTTAATTGGTAGCTCATATGTGAGACTAAAAAGATAAAATAGGTAAGCACCACGTGCTAACAATTAACAGAGTTCCACTTTAGCCTAATATATGTGGCTCTCGTACTAATAATTAATATAGAATTGATAAAATTTTCAATTTTAAGTACAAATCTTAATATGCCACTCAGTATTACGGTTTGGTGGTATTCCTCTTCACTTAAAAGTGAGAGGTCTTAGGTTCGAATCTAGTTGATGACGAATTTAATACCAAATTAGGCTACTTATTGTGTGATTTAACCGAACTCATTCTCTATTTAATGTAAATAAATCAATATATTAAAAAAATATAAATATTAACAGATTGTTCCACATTGTGATAAAGCGTTATCTTGAAAGAGAAGAAATTCATTATCCTTCTCGTTTGGTCTCCAAATACAAGGTACAGTTACAAACTTACAAGACTGGAAAACAAAACGCATGCATGTGACAACAGTGTACTTGGTCAGATATTTGTATTAAAAAATTAATAATTTTAAAAATAATTTGTTTATTTATTGATATAATGATATATGTTGAATCACTAACGAAAAAATTACGAGTGTTTGTCTTCCATTTCAACCACCTACCCACAAACCAGAATCCTGAAAGAATCTCATCTGATTTCGTCATTTGATCGAGAGTGTTGAGAGATGTGGAATGAAGTAGAAGGACCCGTCCTCGGGTACTGGCTTCAATGGCAAGTCCTGGTTTGCGCTCTGATTATAGCAGCTCCGGCCACCGTAGCTCTCAAATTCGCATGGAAAGGAAAGCCGGAGCCGCCACTGAAATCGGTGGAGTTGTGGGGCACTTGCTGGAGAACCCTCGATCCTCTCTGGCTTCTCTTCTATCGAGCTTTCGCCTTTGTGGTAATGGCCAAACTGCTCTTCGACATGACCTCCCAATTTGGTCTTTTCACGCTCGTTTTCTACACCCAGTAAGTTATACATTCCCCTTCCATTTAATTAACTAATCTTTCTAATCTGGTTTTAACTAATTAAATTGGCCGGCCTGCAGGTGGACCTTTGCTTTGGTTATCCTCTATTTCGTGGTAATTAATTAGTTAAACCCTGTTTAGCACTAATTTTACTCGCTCAGTAACTTAGCTTAGAATTGGTTTAAGTTTGCATAATATCATATGAGTCTGGATTTGTGTTGGTGTAGCTGGGCACAATTATATCTGCGCATGGATGTTGGGTTGGAAGGTCTTCTTACAGAGATGATCAAATCAAGGGTAAAGTGAAACCGAAAAGCAACCAAGCTCGAAATGCGATTCAACAAAGAGCTGGATTCTTTGGAAATCTAATGCTCATCATGTATCAGGTTATCAATAATTTGTCCGTCAATTTTCTCGTCTTTTCGGTTTTTTTCGAGTGCTCAACTTTTGATCATCCTTGGTATGATATATCGAACGATAACATGTTAAGAGTAGTTTTAATCTTTGAAGCTGTTGTAGCTAGGCTTGAGTAGCTGGTCATTCTAAATCGATATGATCTTCGTCTTGCCTTACATTCTGAAACCAAATAGTTAGTTTCAAATCCTTTGCGGTTTTATATGGTTCAAGATTAGAGGCGCCGTTGGTCACTCTAAATCGATGTGATCTTCATCTTGCCTTACATTCCAAAACCCAACAGTTAGTTTCGAATGTTTTGCTGTTTTATACGGGCGTGATTAGAGGCGTTGTTGGTCATTCTCTTCGTCTTGCCTTACATTC